TCAGAGGGAAACTGAACTCGTACCGCAGGGGAGACACCCTCGCCGACGCCTCTAACGGACACCTGAGAAAACAAAGCTTCCTCATAGTACTTCCTGTAGATACTTATAATAGACCACTCTTCAACCCTCCGATTTTTTTTTTATTATTATCTTGAAGATTTAATTAACTTTCAATTCATTATGAAAGATAAGTGGCGTACTCATATTCTGCTTACTGTATATCGAACGAAACATAATGGAACGGCATTAAGACCAGTGGCTGAAAGTTGGTGATTTTTCGAGGTACAGTTTTTACAGTTATGATCCGTGACGAGCGTTCGGCAATCGCTAAACTTAATGCTTTACGTTTGGAGCAGAAAGCGATTCTTATGGCGCATCCACCATGAACATATTGGTACTTTAAACCCTCCAGGTGAACTATTTTGGACGAAGCAGCTCCAGTCGGCGAGAAACGGTGGCAGAAAATCGCAAGCAATTCCCTGTCTTTTCATCACTTTGTACTTAATTTTACGCACTGTAATCAAGAAAATACTAATGGCATAATTAATGAAGAACTCATATCACCTACAGAATTATAGAAGGAATAACTTAATTCCCCTTAGAATTATAACACAAAGGAAGACTAACTCTCTAATATAACCACACCAATACTAAAAAAAAAAACTAGAAAAAAACGAAGAAACGGCTTAAATTTCCCTAAAACTAAAAAGGAAAAGAACTCACTGAATTAATTAATTACTATTCCTCTTTGCCACCGTTCTTCTCCCCCCCCCCCTGCCTCCACAACAACGCTGCCCCCCCCCCCCCCCCACAGGTAAAGTGAGGTCAGCAGGTCAGCAAACTCTGGAAGCCTCTTCTTCCTCAATTAACTGTTCGTTGTGAGAAAAAAATGTTCCTCGTCGTTGCTGATTTCAGTGAGAGAGAGGAACGGAATAAACATATCATTATTATTATTATTATTATTATCATTATTATTATTGTTATTATTATTATTATTATCATTATTATTATTGTTATTATTATTATTATTATTATTAATATTTGTATTTGTATTTGTATTATCATTATCATTTGTATTATTATTGTTGTTATTATTATTATTATTATTATTATTACTATTATTATTATTATTATTATTATTATTATTATTATTATTATTACTATTATTATTATTATTATTATTATTATTATTACCATTATATTATTATTATTATTATTATTAATATTATTATTATTACTATTATTATTATTATTATTATTACCATTATATTATTATTATTATTATTACTATTATTATATTCATGATTATTATTAATATTACTATAATTATCATTATCATTATTATCATTATCATCATCATCATCATTATTATTATTATTATTATTATTATTATTATTATTATTGTTATTATTATTGTCATTATTATCATTATTAATACTACTATTATTATCACTGTTGTTGTTACCGTTGTTGCTATCATCATCATAATCATCATTATTATTAGTAGTATTGTTGTTTTTGTTGTTGTTATTATTATCATTATTATTATTATCATCATTATTATTTTTGTTGTCACTACTACTGCTATAGCTATTAGTATTACTATTACTATTGCTTTTATTGTTATCATTATTATTATTACTATTATTATTGTTAATATCATTATTATCGTTGTTGTTGTTGTTGTTATTATATTATTGTTATTATTATCATTATTATCATTACTATTATCATTATTACTGTTGTTATGATTATATTATTATATATATATATATATATAATATATACATATATATATATATATATATATATATATATATATATATATATAATCATTATGATTATTGTTATTATCATTATTATTTATTAGTAGTAGTATTGTTGTTTTTGTTGTTGTTATTATTATCATTATTATTATTATCATCATTATTATTTTTGTTGTCACTACTACTGCTATAGCTATTAGTATTACTATTACTATTGCTTTTATTATCATCATTATTATTATTACTATTATTATTGTTAATATCATTATTATCGTTGTTGTTGTTGTTATTATATTATTGTTATTATTATCATTATTATTATTACTATTATCATTATTACTGTTGTTATGATTATATTATTATTATTATTATTATTATTATATATATATATATATATATATATATATATATATATATATATATAATCATTATGATTATTGTTATTATCATTATTATTGTTATTATTATTATTATTATTATTATTATTACTTTATCATTATTATTATTACTTTATTATTATTATTATTACTTTATTATTATTATTATTATTATTATTATTACTTTATTATTATTATTATTAGTAGTAGTAGTAGTAGTATTACCATCATCGTAATTATTTTTAAAAAATTGTTATGATCATTATTATTGATATTATTGTTATTGTTGTTAATCTCCTCGTCATCATCGTCATTACAATTTCATTATTACTATCACTTTTTTCTTATTATCATCAT